AACGTCATAGAAAGGCTAAGAAACAAATATTATTATAAAAATGTCTTTCTAGAGAGGATGGAATCATTGAATTTTTTGAAACTATCTTCTGATGAATCATTCCTGCCATTCCCCTCTGTGATTTTCCCTCGCATCTCCCCATCTTCCCTGAAGAAGCTAATTTCCTTAAAGTTTTTGATATTTTTGTTTATTTTCATTTTTTTATAAGTTTTTCAAACTTTATTGCAAACTTTGCAATAAATTATACTGTTCTATGGTATAGATCCTGGAAAAAAATTTTAAATGTGAATCTTGGTTCGATACTTGATTTGTCTTTTTGTTATAACTTAAGGAAAAATATACAGATGAATTTTTATCTCTTCCTGTTTTATTATTTAAAAGTCATAAGCACAACTGTACAGTAATGAAGATGAGACTCTTATTCTAAAGTGAAAATCTACCTTCTTCAAATGCTATGGGCATTTTTGTGGCCCTAATTTTTCAGTAGCACAAATACTACTAATATGACTAATAATATGAACTCAACTAGAAATGTTATAAAGTGAAATTAGATTATTCATTAACTGGTTGGAATAATGTCGTCTGTAGTTAAAATAATATTAACATTTATTATTATTACAGTTATTATTTTTCTGATCCTCCCTATATCATTCATATAGACTTTTGATGAGTTAAGTGAAGGTTGCTGTTAAACATGAAAATATTTCAGAATATGTTCAGCTTAAAAAAAGAAATATTTGCTTTCTTATTTTCACATGTATTATGTTAGTTGCTTATCACAATAACTTGACCCCTCAGTTATTTTACCCCCATGTTGATAAGGCTTCTGATACTCAAAGACGTTAAGTACATCGCTCAAGGTAGAAATTACTAAACTGGAATGACAAGGTAAAGTCCACATCTTTACACTCCAAAAGTTACTCTAAAGTTCTCTTATTTACATCTATACCTTTGCCTCCGTTTTCCTAATTGCTTGACACCTTGACAGTACTGGATATATTAAAATATTGTAATACAACAATGTTCTTATTCTCCAGTTCAGATTTTCTTTATCTTTTACCAAAAATTTTAGAGCAGGTAATTTAAGAACCTAAGGGTCCCAAGAACTGTGTAGTTGGCTGCAGGTACAACTTGTACTTGGTAATCTAAATCCATTGTAGAAGATGGGAATAATTCAAGAGAGATGCATTTATCCAATCAACACATGCATTGCAGACATTTGTCTAGAAACTGGGGTATTGATGATCATAAGAGATGAAATAACTTATTCTCTTGGAACTTTCTAGTGTGGGGAGGGACACAGGAAAAAAACGAGAAAAATAAACGGAATGTATAGTTTAGGTAAGTGCTAAGGAGAAAATAATGCAGGAAAAGCAGTAGATAGAGTCAGAATGGGGAAAAGATGTTTTAGTCAGAATGACTCAGAAAAACCATCTATGAGAAGGTGACATTTGAATTAATCACTAAAGGAGGGTAGCAAGTAAGCCATGTAGATATCTTTTGGAAGAACATTCCAGGCTAAGGGAACATCAAATTCAAAGACCCTGGGGTGGAATGTCCCTGACACATTCAAACAATGGAGCAGGCCAACTGGAATGGAATAACTAAAGGAGGGACAGGATAGGAAATGATGTCACGAGGTGCAGATTTTAGGACTATGTAGACCTTTGTAGACACTTCGGTGTTTATTTTCATTGAGACGGGAGTCATTGAAGGCTTTCATTACAGGAGTGATATTGTCTGATTTATATTTACAAAGAATCTTTCCGTTGTGCTGAATATTGAGAGAAGGGAGTTTAAGGTCAAAGTTGGGAGATCAATTAGGAAACTATTAGAAAAAAATCTGGTGGCTCCAACCAAGCTGGTGAAGTTGAAGTGATGAGAAGCTGTCAGATTTAGAAGGTAGGGCCTACAAGATTTCGCTGGATCAAATGTAGTGTGTGAAAGAAATAAAGGAATCAATATATCCTACCAGAGCACTTCAGACGGGATCGGGCGCGGTCAGGGTGGTATGGCCGTAGACTGGCCAGAACACTTCAAAGAATGGAGTTGCTATTTACTGAAATGGGGAAAACAAAGGAAAGAACAGATTTGGGGGAAGGTGGGGGTAGAATAGAATAAGATGAGGAACGTAGTCTTGGACATACAATATTTGCTACCTTATTAAACATCTGTGTAGTGATTAAATGAATGCTAAAGCTATACTGACATAAGAGTGTTTGGCTCTAAGGCATTTGGTCTAAGAAGAGTAGGAATATAATCATTCAAAACCAAATTATTTTAAGCACTTTCTATGTCAAGCACAGTACTAGGTGCTGGGATATAATATTAATAAGATGGATATTATCTATACTCTCAGGGTACGTAATAATATATAGTTTAGTGTTATTGGTGATTGAGTTATGTAGTGTTTACAGTCACAGAAGCTCAGAAATAATAATATTTGATCTATTATCACATCGTTATGACTATACCTAGCAGTTTCATTCAATTGACCATCCTCTTGAAAGGTGTTTAATTTTTTCATACACTGACCTCCTGGAAGTTCTATGATGGCTGACTCTTATTATATAAAGAAGGCTCTTTAGAACTTACGTCTCTTATTAGCATTTAATGCTCATTGTTCTTTTCATCTTACTGATAAAATTCAAGTGTTGAGTTGTATTCGAGGGGCGCTGCTCTCCCAGTATAGCATACATATAGGTGCTTGGCGTTGATGGTTTCCTAGCTAAGCAGTCATACCTGAAAGGTGAATTAGTCACTAGACTTTTTTGTTCTGTGTTTGAGTGTTATGTACTTTTGCTACTGACGCCTTTGAAATAGGATATTCTTCTCCTAATAACTCTGCATGGGGTGTTTGAAGGGTCTACTGAGGCACTGAGTAAAGTAAATACACTTCATAATGCAACTACCCAGACAAAGACAGGAGTTTTTTGGTTTTTTGTTTCTTTTCTTCTTCTTCTTTTTTTTTTTTTTTTTGTTAGCGTGTTAGGTCATTACGATACATTCGAGAAGGTATTCTACCTGCCATTTTTCCCATTTTGAAAGACTGCTGTGCTGAACATTGGTGCTTGATACTTAATCACAGCATTTTTCCTTTGAGTCAAAGAAGAGAGAAAATAGCCCTCTGTTCAGGGAACTAGGTAGCACTAACCACTCTTCACTCTCAAATAGTAAAAGTAATTTAAGCTATCAGAGACTCAACACTGCTTTAGTCGTATCCTCTAGAGAAAAAAGCAGTTAAAGCAAAATTTCATGTGGTTTTCTTTCATGATTTGAGCTCCTTCTGAGAAATATGTTAAGAGTTATGCAGGAATATTTCAAAACTGTTTCATTGGCAGTGTTCTAGCTGAGGTCTTCGTCAAATAACAACTGTGAAGTCATACCTGGCAGGATGAGAAGTGCTTTGATTCAGGTTACAGCATGGTGGCTCACTTCTAAGAATTTCTGCATTCGGAATAATCTTTGAAAGCATGAAGCTTGAAAAATAATAAAATAGGAAGCCTGGATATTTATATGTTTTTAAGTTTGGCTAACTTAAGACAAGTAAATGTGGTAACTTTTCCCATCCTGAAACAAAAGTCAATACATATGATCTACAAGTTGAAAAAGCATCAATCAGAAACACTTTTTTTTTTGTCAACTTAAAATTTTTCTGTACACATGTTTATACTTTTACTACTTTTGCATATATCCATAAAAATCAATGTCATCGATTTGTATATTTTAAAGTTTTACATTAATGGCATCATATTGTGTAAATCCTTTTGCTATTTGTTTTTTTAAAAAAATCCAATAGATTTTTGTCAAGTATCTATATTTGTAACTGTAAATCTAGTACGCTGATTTTCTACTATTCTTTAGAATATCATTGCATAAATTAATCTTTATTTTTCCATTCCCCTACTGATGGAAGTTAGGTATTTAGGGCTTTTGAAGAATCCTAGGAAGAAAAGAGGAATTGACAGGCAATTTCTCAACCCTGCTCCACCATCTTGGTACATCAATGTGTTCAGCCACTATAAATTCCAAACCTTCACAGAAGTTGTTTTGGGTATAAGCAAATCACTATACAGTGGAAACAGAGTTTTGAATCTTAGAACAAGGACAGAAATGAAATCATAGATGACCAAGTACATAGCAAATATGGAACTCACAGTACTATTCTAACAGAGCCAAAACATGCTGTTTCAGTACAGAAGTTTTCATGAACTTTTCCTTGTTTCTTAGCTCTACTGTCTGTTATAGGCTGCTCTTTGGTATAATAATTCTGAATATTTATTTTCTGTCTACAGATAATAGGCTCTATTCTTGCAAAACCTTTCGAGGATCAAACTTCCTGATCTCCTTAAGCCATTCAATATGAATATAAATCCAATGACTATCCTCATTCCTTTAGATCTCTCCACTAAATAAATGGCACACATATGTGGGTATTCATCAGAATTAACTGGGAGTCTTTACAAAAATACATACTTATAAGACTCAACCTTGGAAATTCTGATAAAAGATTTATAAGACAAAGGAATTGTGTTTTTGATAAAAGATCCTTAGGTGAGCTGAGACACCTTCTCCCTATGTGCATAGCTTAATTTTTAAAATACTATTCCTTAGCAGGAGTTGTCCAAATTTAGTTTTAAAAAGTTATACAGATTTTTTTTTTTAAAGTTTTACTTTGAAATCCTTGGCCAGAATTAAGTAGGTTTGCTTCAACTACTTGTATTCTGAAAATATATGTAGTTAAGAAAGGAGCAAACCCTATTGTCATCTCTGAATATCAAACTGATTTGTACCTCAGAGAAGAGATTAAATGCTTTATCTATGGAATAGAAAATCCAAATAATTAAATTATTTTATTCCTGGTTGCTGTGGAGGACACTTCATGCATTATTAAAATCATATTTCCTGAATCCAGTTCCTTATAAAACTTTATAACTGGTTATGTATAAGTGCAACTTATGGCTTTTTTGTTGTGTTTCCAGCACAGTGATGCAGTCCATGACCTTCTTCTGGATGTGATCACGTGGGTTGGAATTTTGCTGTCCCTTGTTTGTCTCCTGATTTGCATCTTCACATTTTGCTTTTTCCGCGGGCTCCAGAGCGACCGTAACACCATCCACAAGAACCTCTGCATCAGCCTCTTTGTAGCAGAGCTGCTCTTCCTGATTGGGATCAACAGAACTGACCAACCTGTAAGCAACCTGTATTGACACTAGTAAAGAATTTTTCTACTTCCAGCTTTCCAGTACTGCCAATACCAGAAATACTCATTCTCTTCCCGTTATCTAAGATAGATACTAATTTTCAGAGCTTCTTCAGTTTTCCATTTTTCATGTCCCATTGTCATAAAGAAGCAGTGAATGATACGGAAGAGGTGGATACTTCTTTATATATATAGATTTGGTTTTTAGAGTGGTTTTTGCTTTGCAGCAAAATTAAGCAGAAAATACGGAGATTTCCCACACATGCATACCCTTCTCTACTATCTATATCCCCACCAGAACGGTACATTTGTGACAATCGATGAACCTACACTGACACATCGTTATCACTGAATGTCCATAATTTACATTATGGTTCACTCTTGATGTTGTACATTCTATGAGTTTGGACAAATATATAATGGCATATATCTACCCTTAGAGCATAATACATAGTATTGTCACTGCTCTGAAAATTCTCTGTGCTCGTGCTGTTCATCCTTTCTTTTCCCCTAACCATGGTAACCACTGACTTTTCTTTTATTGTCGCCATAGTTTTGGCTTTTCCAGAATGTCATATAATTAGATTCATATAGTATGTAGCTTTTTCAGATTGGTGTCTTTCACTTACTAATATATATTTAAGTTTCCTTTTTGTCTTTTCATTACCTGGTAGCTTATTTATTTTTAGTATTGAATAATATTCCATTATACGATGTATCACAGTTTGTTTATCCATCCACCTACTGAAGGACATGTTGGATGCTTCTAAGTTTTGGCATTTATGATAAAACTGCTGTTAACCTTCATGTGCAGGTTTCTGTGTAAACATAAGTTTTCAACTCCCTTGGGTAAATGCCAAGGAACACAATTGCTGGATTGTATAGTAAGAGTATGCTTAGTTTTGTAAGAAACTGCCAAACTGTCCTCAAAAAAGTGGCTATTCCATTTTGCATTCCTATCAGCAGTGAGATGTAAAACACTGCTTCAGAAATTGTTTTAAAAACTTGTCTTTCTAAATAACCATATATCATCATTATTTTATTTTTTGAATCACAGAGCTAAGTATTGAAGGAACTTTAATAAAATTGTTTAGAGAATGGAGGAACATCTTTTCTTAACAGATATAATTGTTATTTTATAAGCTTATAATACACCTTAAAAACCAGACACTAAATTAAAATCTGCATGTCTTAAAAGAGTTTTCTAATGGACATGTTTTGTAAAGTAGTACAAGCTGCAGGTAATTTTTAGAATATATGAACTCTTCCGAAATTTTCTTTGGCACTTTTTATTTGCTTGAGTTCTGGAAACATCTTTAAGTGCCAACTTTGTATTTTACTACTGCCTACATTTAGTCATATCAAGGAAGGAAGGAAAAGAAGAGAAAAAAAGAAAAGTAACCACAGTAATCAACTGTTCTTGGTAAAACCAAACAGAAGATATAAATAACAGACAATATCTAATGTATAACACAGATTTTATGCCCACTTATAATTTTTGAGATGAAGTTTTAGTTAAGGTTTATGTGCATGGTACAAGTTTGTTCTCATGACTAAAATTGCAAAGGAGCAGAAAACTTTCATTTTTTAGAAGACTTAAAGCATAATAAATAGTTCATTCACTTAATGCTGTTCTGTGGTGTGTGCCCATATGTATGGAGTACTTTACAATAACAATGCATTTGGATTCATGTTTATGATTACACATTCATGATTAATGACTGCAAAGGGTACAATTATGGTGGTTATATTTTTAATTGGGTATCATATACCAATGTGACAGCTTTTCTCATAAATGCATACCTATGAATAAGCAATCAAAGTACACATTACTTTCCTCCCAAATGTAAAGCCTTGTGCTAACAAAAATTAATAGTTGAAATTCTAACTCTAAAAAACAAGAAATGGAAAATTTGTGTTATTTTCTAAGAAGATATCATTTTATTCTCTTGTTAGCTTGCGATTCAAATACTGTGTGATTTCTTTTCATTTAGAAACCCTATTCTTATTTTTGTTTCCTGATGTTACATATGGTCTGAAAAACTCCACCAAACATTGCATACTGCACAAAACTGAATTCTGACAAGTAATATAATGAACAATGATTGATATGCAAATCACGGGTGGAGTGTAGCTCAGCAAAACTTGTCTTTACTCTTACTACTGTGGAGGTGTCCTCTTCCGCACCCCACATTTAGGACCTGATTTCCATGCCTCTGACACTTGACTTCCCCATCTTTCCTTCATTGCCATCTCTCTAACCCGGGGAAACTGACTGCCCTGTGTCTCCTTTCTTAAGGATCATACTCATCAATGAATCTGTACTACTCTGATAATTTCTAAAAGCTCGTTGATCTTTTCTAGTAGGAGCTATAGATTTTAGTCAGGACTTCCAATAAAAAGGAAGAACCCAAAGGAGTGAGAATTTCAGGAACTGACATAAGAATAGGAAATTAATACATGGTCAGCTGAAACTAGTAGTACATTAGAAAACATACAAAAATAAGGGCTGGCTACCATTTTTTGTTGTTTTTGCCAAGCTCGTCTAGATCAATATTTAGTACAATAACAAAAAAACAAGGAAAGAAAGCACTTCTGGAACATTTAACTTTAACCACATCCATTTTTTTTTCATTCAGAACCAGTATTTATTTGTAGTTAAAAACTAATTTCCAAAAGAATACATTTTTGAAAGCAAAATTAGTTTTGCCACTTAGTTCTGGTTACACCTGTGCAGCACAAACTTTCCAGAATCACCTTAGAACCTTTTTGGAACAAGGCAGGAAAGAAATAAACAAGCAATTACTAATAATTAATTAATAATCTCATCATAAAAGACTGAAATTGACCATGCTACTTAATTTTAAGAGCTTTTATTTCCTTTAGTTTTAATGTTTCTCTTTCATTAACAATTTAAGAACTTAACTGTGTTAGCACACACATGATTATGGCCATGAGAAATAATGTCTTGAGATCTATTTTTAAATCTTTAAACTAATCTCAGTAATAACTATTAATAGGCTCTTATTAGAATTTTTCCTGAATTGTTATCATTTTTCCTTATTCTAATGCTATGCTGTCATCCATAAGCCATCATTAATGTTAAATGATGCTTTCAAAGATAGTTTATATTTAATTATATTCGTTTTTAATATCTGTAGTTTAAGAATCTTCTCCAGAGTATTGTTTTGCAGACCTATTTTTAAGGTAGTCTTGGTGAATATTTAATTTGGTTTTATGGCAGTGAACAAATATTCCATGTGGTCGTTATTTGACTGAATTGTTTGTTCCTTTTCCTAGATTGCCTGTGCTGTTTTTGCTGCCCTCTTACATTTCTTCTTCTTGGCTGCCTTCACCTGGATGTTCCTGGAGGGGGTGCAGCTATACATCATGCTGGTGGAGGTTTTTGAGAGTGAACATTCACGCAGGAAATACTTTTATCTGGTCGGTTATGGGATGCCTGCGCTCATTGTCGCTGTGTCGGCTGCAGTAGACTACAGGAGTTATGGAACAGATAAAGTGTGAGTACATTATTTTCTTTCTGTCTTTTGTCGCTTTTTAAATCTAGTTGAAATAAAACCTTTGGATTTTCTTGGAAGCTAAGGTCTTTATTTTACCTCCCAGCAATAAATTAAGGAACTGGAGCAGCAAGTAGGTATAATTCAGTCCATGGTTATACTTTGGTTATGATGTAAAAAGAACAAAAATCTTAAGACTCAGTATTATGCTGTTTTAAAGCAGTATAATTTTTTCATATCTGCATCATAATCTTGAGTCATTATAAAGAGATGATAATTTAAATATTTTTTCAGGATATTGGAACATTTGTCAAATGAAGAACTAGCTATATGAAAAGCTCTGTGCTATCAAAGGACAGTACAGTCCTTGACTGGTGGCTTCTCTTCTTCCTGACAATGTCAGGAACAACTGGACAGCTTTTTATATCATTAACAGAAAGACTATAGGAGCAGGGGTCGTTGTGTTTGTCCTTTTTTCTGCTAGGTGGAGGCACTCTACGCATGGGGTATAGGGATGAATTTTATTTTCAACGTAACTTTAAATTGGTGAGACATGTAGAGAGATGTCCAGCATATTAGAAAGGAGTTCAGATAAAAATATTTTTGTGATCTACATGAATATAACAGTTGGGATTCTCAGAATGAATGAAAGTTTCCATAGCCCCAGGAGAGAAAATCAAAGTAGAGAAAGAGAAGAGGGAAGCAGAGCCTTAGAAAGAGAATTGAGAAAGAGAATCAGGTTTAAGGAAAGTGAGAAGAAAATTTCAAGATGGTTTTTCAAAATACTGTCAGTGGTGTTTTATATCAAAGATAATTCGAATCGGATAAGCACTGAGGAAAAAAACATTTCACCTTTGCAATAACTATTTTGAGAAAGTGTTGGAAGCAGACCAAATTGGAAGGTGTGAAGAGACGAATTAGTAGTAAGAAAGTAGAGTCTTCAAGTATCATTTACAGCCTGAAGTCATTTGATTGAAAAATGGTGAAATAACTTACATGATAACAATAATGAAGGAGGATTTTAAAAGATGAAGTCTTAAGCATGTCTAGAGTGAGAAGAATCGAGTTGATAAGAGGAGATTAATGGAGAGAAAAATACCTTATGCCTCATTTGTATTCAATATATATGGGCTGAATGAAAGGGGAAGGTCCTGGGAGGTAGAAAGATATAAGATTAAACACAAGATTGGGAAATCCATGATTTAGTACTGAAAAGTGGCCTTAGGGTTCACCAAGTTCATGGCATTAATTTTATAGATGAGAAAATGAAGGACCAGATAAATTAGTTGCCTTGCGCACGGTGTCAGAGCTAGATGGTGGCAGATGTGTGATAAACCAAGCCAGGTTTATTTCGAATAAACTAGGATTTTTTTTTAATGGTAGTGAAATTATCTCTCTCTTCTGAAATGACTGTGAAGGACAGATAAAGTTTATTTTGAGGCAGAGGATCTTTTCCATCAAGCAAAAGATACCGACTTCTGTTGAGTGAATAGGTGAGGTCACATTCAGAGAACGGGCGATTTGAAAAGCTTTGAAATGAACACTATGGAAAATGTGTTGAGGATCCAATTAGACATTAATAAAAAGGTTTCCGAGTAGCAGTGAAGGCTCAGATGAGCTTAGATAACTTCAATTTGTATGAAAGTTAATAAGCCAAATTTCATGACTTTCCACCAGCGATCAGCAGCCCAAATATGCTATCGAGAAAGCAGTGTGCTTCCCAGAAGTGAGGATTCACAGGGAGAGGGCGACAAGAAGAGGATGCCAGTTATTGGGTGCATAGTTAAAACAGCACAGGTGTTGGTGCGTAGGCACCAACCGTGCGATTAAAAGAAGACCATTAATTCTGTTGAGTTTTTTTTCTTGACTATAGTGACAGGCTGTATAAAGCCATTTGTCTAAACTCTAAATGTAACTAACAACTATTCTTTAACCTTTATGAGTTGTAGCCAAGTCAGAGTTCATTCTGTGGATCTCAGTGACGACTGTGGAACAGATGAGGATTAGAAAAAAATGTATATTATCCAAGGTTGCCACTAAAGACATCTTAGGGGGAAGGGCATTAGATTGATCAGTTTTTTTTTATATAACACTTTTATGGTTATAATTCACATACCATAAAATTCACTCTTTTAAAGTATATACTTCTATTGTTTTTAGGATGTTCACAGTGTTATGCACTCATTACCACGATCTCGTTTTAGACTATTTTCATCTACTCAAAAGAAATCCATTAGCAGTCATTCCCCTTAGATCATTTGGTTAATGTATTTTCCCACTAAGAAATTAAGTCGAGTGGTGTAGTTCTTTGTGACCTTATACTATTTCAAATATTGTGAAATAGTTCAATTTTGCTGTCCTGCAGTTCCTGATTTGCCTTTTGTTGTTGTTTTATGTTAACTTTTTTCCTCCTCAGGTATTTGCAAATATTCCTGTTACTCAATTGACTGAGCTTGTTTGCTTCGTGTTTTAGTCATTTATTTTGAGATCGATGTCATTTTCTGGAGAGTAGTAATCTATCTTTTCTTAGAATCAATAATATGTAGTCTCTTGTGACTTTGTTAAAACTTTGGCCATCATTGCTTTAATTTCCTGCACCATGCCTGACTGGAAGCTCTCGAATACTGACATTGTTACTGAGTGGGAAAAGAGGCTAATTTATTTCCTAGGCACTGATTTAAAACAAACCTTAATAATTGTTTAGTTTTGTGATTACGATTTTTCTCAACATGATGGAGAAGCAAAACAGATATAGAGAAAAGGGAGGATATGTGAAAAAGAGAAAAGGATAGGGAAAATTACAATAAAGTTATTTCACAGGTAGGCATAAAGCATTTTAGTATCTTGGTTTTTGTACATTTTAAATAAATTATCCACAGAAAGGCCTTCAGAGTACATGGAAAAAATGTTAAAACTCCTACCGTTGAGGAGTTCATCCAGCCCATTCTCTATACAGTGCTGTTTTGCCCATTGAAGACTCAGGTATTGAAAAGAGAACTGTTATCCGTCATTAGTGTTTACTTGAGAAGCAAAAATGAATGGATCATGTTTCCATCAGGGTTTAATCAAGACATCTTCCCAAAGAAAAATATAAGCAATGAATTTTTACACAACCTGGAAGATTTCTACGTATAGAATTATATGTCTTGTTCCTTATGATCAAATCTGTCTTTATTGTTCCAGTTTCTGTTACTGTTGCTTATTTCTTTATTTCATATGGCGTTTCCCACTCCCTTACAATATGACTCATTTTGCATGAAACTCTGCTATCTCACATTTGTTTGCTAATGTTACCTTCCTATACCCTACATTGATTTTTAAATATAAATATGTACAGTACACAGTCTAAAATAAACTGGAATTAGCCAGAATTCAGAGAAATATTGTCAGCTATTTTACATTCACTGGTTTTATTCTAGATACACTCTAAGTGATGTGTTTTCTATGAAATGTTATTAGGGCTGTTGAATTTATTATTATGTACAAAACACACACACACAAAGCATACATAATTTTACTTTGAGAAGCTGCTTAGTTTGCCATCAATTTGCGATGTTTGTAAGAGAGCCATTATTTTTCGAGGTTTGTTTAACGAAACCTTTTTATCCGTACTGACATTATACTCGAGAATGTACTTGGAATAATTATTTGATCACAATAATCAGACATTTAAACAATCCATCTAAAATACCAATAGTCTCTTTTTAAAAAAATCACTTTCTGCTAATGAACCACAGGTCTAAATTGTACTGTTAATCGTGGGCATTTATTTCCATTTCATCTCTCTTTCTGTATCTTCTTTTTGTCTCCCATACTGTTGTTCGTGTGGACATTCAGCAAAGCCATCCAATGTGATACTATCAGAAGAAAATTATAGCAGAGGCTGGCATTAACTTAACAATAATTCAAATAGGAAAGATTTGGAAATCCAGTACTAAATACTTAGGTTTTATGACCTGAAACTTAATCAGTTCATTTAAACTTTAACTACCGCAATATTACCAAAAATTGCAAACTGTTTGAACAGTTAATTTTTATTTAAAGAAAAAAATCACATTAATAGTTTATAGCATTTTCCTCACAATCTCATGTATACAATTAAAAAACAGTGGTTACTACCTGGGTTGATTGGAAGAAGGCATTAGAACTGATAACAGGAGAAGAGAGGACACCAAGCCCAGAGAATTGCCTAAGAGAGAAAATCTAAGCTAGAAAATTGATAAGGGGTTTCTAAAAGACGTGGATTAAGTCATGAACATTATAATCGATCAGAACATCCTTGAGTACTAGAAGAATAGCTGAGCTCTTAAAAATAATTGAAATCAAATTTTATGATCTGAAAATTGTTATAAATCATCTATTAAATCTTACATTTGTCTCCCTAGCCCACTAGCTTAAGAGCATCTCTGAAAGGGATAGTCTCTCCTCTGTTAGCGAAAAGCATCCAGATTTCTTTATTTTCACTTCATTATCTAACTAGCGTAATCATTTGGGTAGAAATGTGATTATTGATTTTTTTTTTAAAATACTGGATTATAGTATTAGTCAAGAAAGAGCTTAGCCAAGAAACATTGAACTTGATAGTATCAGCAAGTTATATGCACAGATTTATTTAATATATTTGTTCACAATTTCTAAACATTTCAACCCACTCATAAGAAATTATATTTTCATTTGGAGTATTTTTCTAAGCAATTATGTGATGTTATAAAATATACTTACTTGTAAAATTTTATTGGCATGAGGAATCTACCTCACTGGAATACTATCACCAGGTATGTCTGACTGTAGCTTGGCCAGTGGGAAATAGTATAGATAATGAAGAAGTATTTTTCATTGACCTATCAAGGTAATCATTTGATAAGTGCTTGGAAAGCACATGTGTATGTTTATATGTTATTTTATTAAAGGCCAAGAACATCTTTTATGTGTATGTACAGTTGAGACCGAGGGTTAATTGCATCATTATTTTATCTCCCAGAAACTCTATGGTTAGACAAAAT